CAAACCCTAAATTTTTCAACAAGATCGTGGGCGGCACACTCAGAATAACATCGCGGGCGGCAGACCCCAAACCCTACATTCAAAACATGATCGTAGGTGGCAGACTGCAAACACTAAATCTACACCTAAATCTACAACCAGATCGTGGGTGGCAGACTCCAAACCCTTATTCCAAACAAGACGGTGGGTGGCAGACCCCAAACCCTAAATTTAAAGCAGGATCGCGGGGTGGCAAACCGCAGAAGAACGTATTGCCGCAGAAGAAGGTATTTATAACTCCGAAACCTGAGAAGAAATCTTGGGCGCAAACCCTAAATGCCACCGCGGCTCTGCAGTTCACTGCGCGGCTGTGAGGAGTAGCCGCAGCAGCGAAGGAAGCAGAAGCAGCATGATTGGGCACTGTTTTCTGAGTCGGTTCTTGGCGTTTGCCGCTTTTACGAATTTATTTTCCTGCGGCTCCCCACGCGGTGCTCTGAATCTTCTGGCTAACTGACGCTTTACTTTGCCTCCAGTTTTTCGGCAGTGCTGGGCGAAGATCCTCTTTGGCAGTGGCGGCTTTCCTCTTTAATTGCCTTCCTGCGGGCGCCGCTGCACACAACTCGAACGCACTCTTCTTCGCAACGTGATCCCCGCTGAAGTGTAAATGTCTGTGTCTGTGCCCCGTGCAGAGCCATCCAGGATTCCAGGGAATTAAAACAGCTCTGCAGGCACACACCATCGGAGCAACGCCAAACAAAACGCTGATTCGCATGCAGGTTCCATCACCGCCAAGGTTTCTTCGGGCAAGCTGCCAGCTTCCTCAACGGAAACCCTGTCGTGCTAATAGCGGGAGACGTGTGAGAGCCCCCCCGTGTTGAGCAGGAGGCCAGGCGAATCGGAGCTGAGTCCATGGCACAGCCGCGAACCTGCTTTCCAGGATCCTCGGTCTCGATGCGTTTGCTCCCGTCAGAAAACGCATGCAGGCAACGCCGCACACGCCTCGCAGCTGGGTTAATCTCCCGCAATGTGGCCCTGGAGCGCTTAAGCTGCTCCTGTGGCCGAGCGCGGCGGGCTTAGAGCGGAACGGAACCGAGGCCCAAGGTGCAAGAAAGCCCGGGCCGGCCACCAGTAGCACGCAGGGAGAAAGGCTCCATCAACTTAAATCTTCTTCGAAGCTCCTCTGCAACAAGATCGATCTTGTTCAGCACCAGCACATCTGCACAAGCAACCTGCGAAGGGTCGCAGAAGATTCGACGCATGGCGACTGACGGCTTACTTCGGTGCGCCTGCTTCAGGGCCTCTGTTTCCAAGCCGAGGCCGTTTGGACCCTCGTCAGCCTCAGAATCTCGACGGATCTCAACAGTTTGTCTACGGGACTGAAAGCCGTGGCTCGGCCTTTCCAAGGTAGGACAGCACGTAGTAGGCGTCGACGAGCGTGACAACCCCGTCAAGATACACGCGACCTCGCGTTTGCTTCTCGCCTCCCCCAGCTCTGAGCTCTCCCAACTCTTCCGGGCTCGCGGCTTCCAAGGCCTTCGTCAACCCAGAACACCTCACAAGAAGCTCGATTCTCAAAAGCGCAGGAAGGCCAATGAAAAGATCTCGACGGTGCCTCGCAAATGGACTCCGGGTCTGCAACGCCCGTCGCCTGAGCTACGAACGATGCGGCGCAGGTCTCGCTCATGTTGGCCTCATCTGCGAACACCTCGACCAGGATGTAGTCAAAGCTGCTCTTCTGTTCCAACAACACGTCGAGTGTGCCAACCAAGCTATCCTGAACAAGTTCAGGGGACATCTATCTACACTGCTTTAGGTCGGGGAATCCCACATCGCCTTCGCTGAGCAGCAGAGGCACCCGTTGGGTAGCTCGTAGACATCCTACACAAGTTCTGCGGCTCGTCTGAGTCGCCGATAGGATTGCCGCACTGCGCTGCCTTGATGGTGTTGCCCTTGGAATCCGTGAAAAGAGGTGCCTGCCAGGGCTGCGCCACCTGATTCCTGAACCTTGCGACTGGATCATCTGCGTCACCTCCATCCCCATTTCGTCAGAAAACCTTGGCACACATACAGATGCCCGCCATGCAACGCTTACCATGGCGGACGACTTGAAACATATTCTAAGCAGAGGCGCTCATTCTGGATCACTGCGATCCTGTATCCATGATCTTTTTCCAGGATGTACCTCTCGCATTCACGGTCAAAGTATCGGGTTGACTCAATGGGTTCAAAGGCCTCAGCAATGTTGTCTTCCCGGCACCCAAAGCACCACTCAAAACTGTGACCGGTGTGCGAGCCTCATTCGCAGAATCTAAAAGAGCCAGCTCTGCGAATGACTCCGCCAATGTCGTGCACTCGGTCCAAGCTCCAAGCCTCATCTTCGCCTGGACGGCAGGCAGACTTTCTCTTGTGGGCTCACTCATTCAGCCAGGGCTGGGGCCATCCAAAGGTTCCATACCAGCCGGAGTCACACGACTCTATGGATCGTCATGTATCAAGGATGTCATGCCTTCTAGTGAGAGGGTTCTGCGTTGGGTGTATCAGGGTGTGTGTCTCTATGTCTGTGTGTGTCTTCTGTTTGTCTTAGGCAAGGCATTGTCGTGGCTCGCTGTGCAAAGCTGGACATGCGTATATGTTGACCTCAAGCCACAGGGTTAAACGAGTTCTTCTGCAGCATCGCAAAGGCAAACATGCAAGGCTTCGTCGCGCAGCCTTGTCGCATAACCGACCGCGTGGACCTGCATATCCTTGCACATGTATGACAAATTATACTTCGTACTGGTACATTGTAGACAATGACGACAGCGCAGAGCGTCCATTGCAAAAGATTGGCTACTTCTACGTACACGAACTTCAACGTCTGCGAGCGTCCTTCAAGATTTTCAGGAACTCCTGCGAGGGATGCAGCCGGTAGGTGGTCCCAACTCGCAATGAAAAGCCTCAACCCTTCTTCGCCTACACAACGTTGCAAACCCGAGTGCCTCGAACTCCAGGTTCTGAGAGCCATCGCCGTCCTTCCCACAAGCTTGTGCAATCTAAATAACCAGAATGGGCAAGGGAATCGGAATCATGCAAAGCACCGAAAGTCCAGATCACTGATGAGCTGGTAAATGGTCGTGTTGTCTGCCTCGCTACTGTGTCCGTGAACCGCGGCTGAATGCTGCATCTTGATACCGCGCTCAACATGCAGTTCCCAAAGCGAGTCAGAATACAGGCAGGCAGTATCCATGTTTCCTCATGTTTCCCGCCCGGATGACAGACCGTGCGGCTCTACAACCACGAGCGTCTGATGGGTATAGCGCGCTACGCCGCTATGCAATTAGAGAGAATATCGTATCGTGAGGCCTGCCTCCCCAGACAACTGAGGAGCTTTCGCGATGATCTTGAAGCAGACGCACTATGACCAATACACACCAGTACTGAAGCGGAGATGTAGCAGCGCATGGATGGACACGCATGGCCATGCTGCTTCAAGGCTTCGGCTGAGCCCCTGGACCCCTCGCCCCCGACGATTCTGGCCGCCGTGGCCGAGCGTGTTAACCCCCACCGTGCGGGTAGCACGAGGGCCGCAGCGGCAGCTTCAGCCAGCATCAGGAGTTCGTGAGGCAGCAGGAGTGGCACATGGCAGATATGGCAGAAGCAAAGCCACTTCCACCGTTCCACCGTCTGTTCATTGGAAGTGCTGGCCGCTGGATATCCCTGGCCGGAGGAGAAGCTGAGGAAAGCAGACAGGGGCTTTGGAATACCGAGCGTAGCATCAGGATTAAAAAGGAATGTGCGCAATGCGTAGTGTTGAAAGGTTTTCGCGAGGCCCGCGAGCGGAGCTTGGGGAGGCTTCTGGGTCGGGGAAAGGCCTTTTTCCGGACAGTTCCCTGGAAGCGTCTGCAGCTTTCGCCCAGAAGCCAAGGTGTGCATGCATCGTGTTTGCACGTGCACCCTTGCACACATCCGAGCAAAGCGTCATGCACAGGCGAACGAGAATACAAGCCAGCGAGCAACTGACGGAGGACGCGCGTGTGTGCATGCGGACAAGCTGACAGTCAAGACACACCATCATAAAACATAGTATCATATAGAGAAGACTCTAGCGGTGCCTATTTTAAGAATGCAGGCTTTGGGCATCATCATCATCATCATCATACGGAACCTGCGGACACGCTCGGTCACCAGCGTACGCATTGGTGAGCGCGTGCGGACGCAGACTGGAGAGTGCTTTAGGCCCGCTGAGCTCCTTTTGCTCATAGGGGCTCTGCATGCTATCTCGCGATGTCTTCTGTCACATCCCGGCCAAGCCGAGTCAAGCGGCTCTTGTTGCTCGGCTAGTGTTGCAGCCAAAGGAAAGTTCTCAGATGTGATAAAGGTCTGGCGAGAAGTTAGGAGCAGGTGTTGGTCCTGGCCACGACGAGCATCTTTCTCGCTCGTTGGCTCGCTCTGTCACAGCTCCAGTCCCCGCCTCAAAACCCAGGGCTTGCATTTGCATGCGGATCTCCTGACAGTGAGGCAGCTGTCGTAGTTGGTCGGCCGATCAACTCACGCTCGGGCACTCATCTGCTTGCGCTGCACTGCTTGGATGGATTCTGAAGCTAGATTCGCTAGATGCAGTTCATTTGCAATGAGGCTTTTCTCCACATCTTTGTCCGGAACACTGCGGAAAAACACCCGGCCCGGCCCCGTCTCGGTGACCGGGCATGATTGCCTAGCTGCCTAGCTCCGTGGCTGCCCTTCAATCAGTCTGCAATCTACTGTCGCAAGCAGGTCGCTGCTGCAGCCTTCACGATCTGCAGCCGCAGCCAGGAACGTCCAGCACAAGGCTCAGGAGGAGCAGGGAACTCGGGAACTCTGCCCGGTACTCGTTGCGCTGCCATGGAGTTGATGCAATGTTCGGCAGGTCGTCTTTGCCGTTTTGAATCCACGGCCATCTGGAGACTCGAGTCCATGACCAACGTCTCGGCAACATGCCCATTCACATGACTGGCACAACGTGGCTCTTGGTGGCTCTCGGTGATGCGGGCGAAGCCAGCTGTTCATCGCCTCGCCAGACAGCAGAGCTTGAAAGGGTTTCAAGTACGCCAGTACGCTCAGTGCTGGTCGAACCGCAGAAAAACAGGAAAAGCCCGGACTAGGAAAAGCTCGGACTGGCGATGGCGAGTCTCTTTCCGCAGCGACGCAATGCAGCATAGAAGTCTTCTAGCCTTCATGACAAATCAAAACACTCCAGAAACTCATTTAAGAGTCAAGAGTCCAAGAGCCCCAACCAAGCAACGGGGCCTCTTCTGCATGCGACTCAGGAAATGGCGACCTCCTCCGCCGTAGTGGCGATTGTGAGCCTCTAGCGGCGCATTCGCGATTGCAGCAGACACAGCGTTCTCAGCAACAAGCGCAGAGATCAGCACTTCTTCTGCCCGACGTAGAGCCTGCATCGCTATGAATCCGACTGACCAGAACTTCAATTTCATTCGCCTCCTTCATCGAAGCTGGCGTGTCGTCAGGCAGGGCAGATGGGGGAGATGATAGCGTCCGCCTGCAACGGCCAGATGGGGCTTCCCCATTCCAGCTCTTATGCCACAGCGGCCTTGCCATGCACTGAACCAGCATCATGTGGTATTTCAGCTCGTACCTGGGTGCGGACTTGTCGCCCAGGCAATTCTTGAAGCGTGCTGCCACAAGGCCCCCGCTCCGAACTTGGGGCGATGAGAGCCGCCAGCTCAATACATGTCTGAAACGCATCGACCTCGCACGCCAGGCACAGCAGGAACAAGACGGAGAATGCTCGAAATCTGTACTTCTCTGTGTCTGTGCTTCGGACCGCTTCCTGAAAGAACCCGGCGTCCTGGGCAGCCTCAGACAAGAAAAGCCAAGCGGTGTGTGAGGCAAGTCCCTCGTCGGTTCTTCCCTGCCCAAGCGGCCATGGCGAGACCGTGGAGGCCCCACACGAACTGGGCCCTGCAGAGCGCTCTTGAACGCGAGCCGTCGCGCCCTCAGCGCCCTCAGAGCCTCCAAAGTGGTTGAGTGCTGGGTGGAAGCTTCTGCGCGGTTGCGAAGACCCGATCCAAGACCTACCAGTATGGACCCTCTTTGGCACTTCACCTTGAGAGTATACCTTTTCCGCAGCTGAGGCAAGAACTTGTCGAATCTTCCGGACAACCTCCCCCACTTCGCTGGGTTTCGCTCGCCGCCCTGGGGAGTGCTCGGCTACGGCGACTACGCTAGTCGAAACTAGATCTGGAGGTCTCTCTGCAGACAGCCCCGAAACGATCACGAAACCAAGAACACAAGCGCCAGCCTCTCAATGTGGAGAATGTTTGCAACTCTGCCCTGCACTTCAAAAGCAGCAAATGGCCAGGATTGTTACAAACAGGGACGTCCAAGGCCCAAGCTCAAGCAAGTCGGCGACCTTGCCAGCTTCCGCGGCCAGCGGAGCCTCTCGAAGCAAAGCGCACGATGTACGATGTGCTGCACATGCAAAGGATGGCCGGCATGGCATGATGATTTTAACGGGCTGTTCGAAGCTTCAAATTGCCGATCTGCCTCCACTGAGCACCGCGTGCATGTACAAAGAAAGCCGTACGTCCGCTGCAACCTGACAGCAGGCCAACTGCTGCATGTCACCACCGAACAGATGATTGGTGGCCCCTCCTGCTTCTCCTCTCGACCACTGTGTCGAAAGGGTAGACCTGAGAGCTGACGACGCGGCGAGTCTTACAGTCGGACGAGTCCAAGGACAGGGCATAGGTGTCCACCAGCTCCTACCAGCACGGACGGGTGAAATTACATACAACTTCGCATTCTGCCACATACATGTGACACATGACTCGGGGCCTGCCTCACCTTGTGTCAAGTCGACGGCGGCACGAGCTACCAATGTGATACCACCCTGGCATGCCACGGTGCGAGCGCATGTCGGCAATCCATAGCATGACAGATACACGCGGCTACTCCCACCAACTCGGTCCTCGGACAAAGAGTAGCTGAGAGTGACGTTTGCACAGCAAGAATGGTTGAATAAAGATGCCACGAGCCAGAGTCCACCGAGTGCCTGCGTTTCATCCAGTAGCAATGTCAAAGCGTTCCATGCTTCCGATCGTCGACTGTTCGAGGCCACAATGGCAGAAACCGCACTTTGCAGCTGGCGGGGCCAAGCTGGCAACGATGGGCCTGGACCCTCCTCGTATCCTGCGACGGTGTTGTCCTGGCCCAGCCGATGCAAATGCTGCTCGAAGATCTTGAGCCGGAGACTGGGATTCTGCCAACCCTCTTCGCTTGTCCCGTGGAGACACCAAAACAGGGCACGCTCCATCTCCCCTGCAGTTCCCAACTTCTTCACGCAAGCTTCTGCGAGCTCTGCGATTGCAACGTTAGATGCGGCCCCTTTCGTTGTCGAAGTGGCCCATGCGTCCTCCAGGAGCAGCAGCTCACCCGCCCTCACCTGCCGGCTCGTGACCAGGCCGATGCCCCTGCCGGGGAGCTGCCGCGCCTCCACGGGGCCCACGAAGCTGCGGCCACCGCCGTTTCGCCCGCCACTTCTGCCGTTTCGCCCGTAGAAGCCCGGCCAATCCACATCAGGCGGCGGCGGCGGCTCTCGCGTGCGCGGTGCCGAGGCAATCGCCGAGAAGAGGGCGCCCACGCGCTCGTCCTGCAAAGCACTCCGCGCCCGGACTTTCATCCTCCTGACTGCATGGGCATGGCCAACTCAAGCGTTAGCGAAATGTTCTGTGGCCTTTGAGGCGGCAAGTGGCCGCTTCTGAGCCGAAACAGCAAACCTGCAGCCTGCATTCTGCTCTGGTCGGACGGCAGCGAGGCCTTTGGATCGATGCTACCGCTACCATCAGCGTCAAGGAGGTCGAAAATCTCCTTCATCTCCTGGTCGGGGATGGTTCATCAGACATCACACCAGGTACGGATGGAATGAAGGAATGAGTCCTCTCTGTGAGAAGAGAGCAAAGCCTCTCTTCCCAAGCTCAAGCTGGAGGTGGACCTGAAGCTAAGCCGAACCGCACAGCATTCGGACAATTAAAGACTGCACTGCCCCACAATGCCGCACAGCCATGTATGTCAATGTGCAGGGAAATTGAACTTCATGCTTCGGTACTGTTTCCCAAGGCTGGAACATCCTGCATCAGGTATGCCGCCTGTCCCTTAATTTCTTGCAGACGCTGGATTCGTCCATGGCCCCAGCTTCGCAGCAAGTCTGGGTGATCAGGCAGGGTATGATGGGACAAGCTCCCGTGCTGATGTCAGCACTCTCTGACGCTAGTGACTCTAGTGCATCGCTGGAGCGTCGGACGTACAGCTGAAGACGTGTCGAACGAGTCGAGGCACGCATGACCATCATGAGGAGCCCATGTGAAGCAAAATGTTGGATGCTTCACGTTCGGAACTGCGCCATGGTCTGCACTTTTTCCGTCACCATCAGCAGTCGCAGCGCTGCTGAAGAATGCATGGCCCACGGCTGGGTAGTGCCTCGAGCCGCAGAAGTGAAAACCCTCCAGCCGATCGATCGCCTTGGGGTCTGTGCCTGAACAGCGCTTGCCACTGTTCATCTCGAACACGGACCTCTTCCTTCAGCCGGGATGCCTCCTGCCCAAGACTTCGTGCATTGTGCATAGCGGCACACGGCGCACGCAAAGTCGCGAGTGTGTCCTCGCCTGCTCGAGGAAGCTCGAAAGCTGCCGGCCTGGACTCTAAACGTCGAAGTCAAAGCAGCACTCAATGGCTCAAGGCACCGGGACACCTTGATGCAGCTGCTGTTCCAGCTGCCTGCGGAGGCGTCTTTCGGCTAGTTTCGGCTGCTGGCTTCATGCTTTTGCCCAAGCCTCTGCTTCTCCTGAGCCAGTCGTGCCGACTGCAGCTCGTGCCGGCAGATCTCGGCTTCAGCCTTCAAGCGACGGAGCAGCAATTCGCAGCATGGGGTGTGGGGGCGGGAGTCTGAACTGCCTCCACATTTCGCTTCGCCTCTGCCCGAACCTTATCACATCTCGCCGATTACCGAACTCGAGCGTGCTGGTATAGGATCATATGCTTCAGGGTGTGGGGGACCACAATCAGTGCTGTCCGAAGCTTGAACCAGGCGCTGGTTAAACTAGTTTACAATTGCTCGCGCTGGCTCGGGGCTGTGGGAACCCGGCAGAAGAGCTGGGCGACGTTGAGTGTTGCTGGCTCAGGCTGTGTCCACACTCGGCCGGTGTGCTGCGTCGCTGTCGTTGTGTCGCTCGCGGCGCAGTACTGACCACAATGGTCAAGGAACGTGATACCAGCAAGGTGAAGCCAGTGACGCAGCGATGTTAGAATCGAGGCTAGCATCCAAGTGAGCATTGCAAAGCTCTGTGGCAAGGACCGTTGCTATGGAGTTCCACGACGTTCCCGCCTGGCATGCAGTCGATCTGCTTCCGGAAGGCGCCTGCGATTCGTGACCTCTGGCCTTGCCTCTTCTTTGGCCGTTTCGAACTCCCGTCGCATCTGGGCCATCTCGGCCTGTTCACACTGCCCACAATGCCCCACAGAACCTGAAAGGAGGAGAAAACGAGTCCGCGTGCCTCGTGGAGCTGCGCGAGATCGCCCTCCAGCTTTGAGAGGCTGTCGATCTCACCTCGCATCACGAAAAAAGGCCAAGGCTGGTGCTTGTTGCCCCTGAGCAGCCCTGAGACCAAGCCGCATGCGGAGTCGGAAAGAGGCCGCCGACTTCTCGGCCTCCTCGAGGCGCTGCTCGAGCCTCGGCGACGGCATCGAAGGCTTGCGTTCCCCGGTTCCGTTCCGAGACTGCGGCATCTCTCGCACCGCCGCAGCGCTGCAGCGGTCCTTGGACCAGAGACAGCCAAGGAATAGCCGATAGCCAGCGGAGCGACTCTTTCGTTGAGTCCCCTGCTTCCTCTGCAAGGAATCTCCAAGACTCTTCTTCACCGCGATCTTGGAGGTTCGATCAACCGGACAGTGACAGCATGAGGCCAGGCCGGCACTTTGTAGTTCCCTGTCGAGCTTGCGGTGCAGCTCAAGCTCCTCCACCTGGCTGTTGTGGCTGACAGCATCATGCCTCCATCCGAACCATCAACTCGGATGCCGATGGACAGAGAGATGACGACAATGACAAGGATCGTAACTGAGCCCAATCCCCGTAAGTCTCCAAATTTCCAGCATCCTAAACGGGACACCCGCTTTCGTCAAAACTAATGGGAACCAAGTGCTTGCCTGGATTTCCGCGACCAGGTCTTTGCTCGCCTTGCAATCTGTTCAATTGTGCCGCACAGGGTGAAGCAAGTTGCTGAAGAGACGGTGAGATTTGCCTGCAACTCCGCTTCCAAGTCGGAGTTTCTGCCTGCAGAGCTCTCTGCTTCTTGGCCGGTTTGGCACGTCTTCAAAAAAAACAGTGCCAGGTCCGCCAGCGAGGCTCCGGGCAGCCGCCTTCCGGGCACTTCTTCCGATGGCTTTGCAAGGCGACAAAAAGCGCAGATGATCGAACCTCCGCAGTCCGAAACTCCTCGGACTTCTGGGCCAGCTGCCTTCCGGCCTCGCCCGAAGCTGAACAGAGGCGCACTGCAAACCAGCAGTTGCCATCAGAGACTATGTGACTATGGAAGCTGCTTGATGCACGGTGCGGGGTCCTAAAGATGGACGTGGGAGCGCTCGAAAGTTTAACTTGGCCTCCTTGAAGCCACAGCCGAGCAAGACGAGCTGTTTGAACGATTTCCCGCCCTCCCCCCAAATATGCACTCACTGGCAAGCACGACCGCAGCAGAATTGCTGTGTCGACGACAATCCCGGGCTGCAGGCGCGCAGTACACGATGGCCAAGGCTGTTGGGAAAACCTCGTGAAAGACACAGGCTAGATCTTTCTGCGGGGCATTTCCCCGGCCGAGCCCTGCCTTCGCCGTAGGCCTCCTGGTCGGCTCCAGTCGTGGCATTCTGCTGTACCTGAGTCAATCTTGAAGCGAGCCAAGAAATGCCTTTCCACGGAGCATATGCCGGAAATCCATTCAAAAATGCAGCAAACCATGATCGTAAACCGGATCCGGCAGAGGCGCCACTAGTTCTGTTCGCAGCTCCTTTTCTCGAAGCTGCCCTTCCTGTCACAAGCGAAGAACCCCAAGAGAGACAGAGAGAGATATCGCTCTGAGTCCAACCCAAGACAAGCCTTTATTTCAAGCTTTGCGGCTTCAAGGAGCTCACTCTGATCCAACAGCCTGCGGCACTGCAAGTTTGGATGACACGGCATCTTGACTAGACTTCAGCCGAAGAGCTCTTGCCGCAGTCGCTCTGCATGAGCATGGGCATGCTGGGCATGTGCCGCCTCCTGCACATGCAAGAATTCTCGCACCCGTGCTCCTGGCCTGAACTTCTCAGAAGTGTGGCGCCTCCCGTACACTCCTTCGCGAGTGATACTCCTGAAAGGGTACGGACTCATAAGCCGAGAAGAGCTTGCCCCAGGGCATGACGAAATCGTACACAGCCGTGACTGCGGCATCTTGCGACTCATAGCCTGCGCCCTGCACTCCGTAAAAGCATTCCATGCACCCAGTCTCATTCTGAAATGCAAGCGATTTTCGATTGCTTGCGCCTGAGTTGCCGATAACTTGGGCAACGCACCTGTCAAGTGCTTTCGACTTCGTCTACCGGGTGTGTCACTCGTTTCTTCAATTCCGCCTGGCTCCCGCTGATCCAAGAGCATGTTCCAATAGGGAATGTCATCCTGAGGAGTAAAGGTAGCTCAGCAGCCCCTGTCCCGTCGTCGCATTGGCGAAACGTTGGCCTGCACGTGCTGAAGCCTCCTGAGCAGATGCAACAAGCACCATTCTTTCAAAAGAACAAGCCCCAGGCCCTGCGAGATTGCCCAAAGCGTTCTGCAAGCTGTCACCAAGGCTCTGTGGCACGGTCTCGCTCTGCGCAGGCGATTGGACGGCTTTGAGCAAGGCTGCTGCACCTTGCAACTCTAGCCACGAGGCTGGCTCAGCATAGCACCCGGTAGCGCCTTCTGCACCAGCTTTTCGGGCATAGTGCAAGGCATCAAAGCCTCGAATGCCGGCAGAAACGGGAGCAGCTCTCAACAGTTAGATGGATCCGAGACGGAAGCCGAAAATGTCCTCGGCATTCACATCCTCATAGGATTCGTTCGACTGTGCTCGGAGTTTTTTTGTGGCGAATGAAGAGGCTGGGCACACGGGCTGCAAGCCCCGCCAGCAGCAGCCGGGTGCATTGCTCCTGGGCACCAAGAACTGTTCATGCGCTTCGGAGGTCCGTCGCCTGGGTCCAGACAAACAAACTCAGTAGCGGTCTGCGACGGGCTGCGCGGGATGCAAAACCTTGCCCGGAGCAACTCCCCATCACGAGCAACGACGTGGCCACCGTGACAACTTCAGTGCCGAATGTTTGCTTGTATAGACAAACTTAGGGGTCAAGGCAAAAGCCGTTTCAGACAGCCGGCAAGTGCTTGTGAGGGGGCCAGGGAAAAAGCAGGCCAGTGATCGAGCGAAGCAGTCCGAACTGGCTACGTGTGTTCACTAAAGCTTGCCTGCAGCAACCACAGCAATGTTCGAGCATCTTCTTTGCGTGTTGTTGGTCCAAAGTCGTTCAACCGACACCGCAGTAGATCTCAGCGTTTACAACCGTAAATCTGCGTCTGTGGGGACATGGGCTAGAGTATATTCCTCCGGATGTGGGCGAGTGCATGTGCGCATACGTGCAGCTTGCTTTGCAAGGTCGTTGATGGACCACGTCGAATAAGGAGTGCTGAGTGCTTCGAAGCTCCGGCGAAGCGAAAAACTTTCTTCGACTTGACAAGAAAGCAAACCCTCCAAGCTACTGGCTGCGTATGACAAGGGAGATCTCCCTTGCAAGTCTTTCCTCGCAAGATCCGGCAAGAACAAAGGAATGAAGTGAACGAGGTTGTGATACCGAGAGCTGCGTATAACTCGCGCTTCGCGCCTCGATGCCAGCTCTGGGCTTTTTGCCTGAAGCAAGTTGCAGAGTCGAGGCTCCTTCAGAGCACATTCACTTTCCCAACTGAGGATACTAAAATATCTAGGATCTAGGACTCCTTGCTGCAAACTGCCAGATGCAAGGCCGTCCGGCCAGCTGTGTCCTGCGAATTGGATGCCGCTTTTTCCACGGGACATGTCGAACTGCGTGGACACCTGAACATCGGCCGCACAGCCGCGATCCAGCAGCACCATGGCTGCCTGCCCGCGCAGCACCCTCGAGGCCCCGAAGTGGAAGCAGAGCTCCGGCTGTGGCCGAAGGATGCCGGAGAGGCACTGCAAAGCAGACTCTTTGCTCTCTGAACGCGCATCTCACCCCGTCCCTGCGCATTACTCTGCAGCGTCACTGCGACGTGCAGTGGTTACCAGGTCCCCTCTGGACACCACTGTCTTTCAATGCATATTGAAACCTCTGCACACGCAAGGGCGCACCACCACAGCAAATGCCTCGAAAGTGATCTGCTTTGACTTCCCGCTGTGCCTCCATTATGTTTCGGTACGCGCTCTTGCGTAGCTTCAGAAGCCCCCGCTTTGTGGAGCTAGTGATCATGTGCCGAATCAGCTGTCGCCGGCACAGTTCCCGCACGTCCAACATCTTCAAATGCCTGAGCTGCAAGCCGGGCTGCACTGCACAAATCGGCGTGCAAAATGGCCGGCAGGTCAATGTTGGCTGCTTTAACCTGGAGGCGTCGGCGCTTTCCTCCGCCGAGGCCACCCGGAGCTTTCAATAAGCCTGCAGTCCATCTACCCACATCGCCGAAGAGTTGCTCCTCAGGTTGCAGCTGTCCAAAGAAATCGGTGCTTCCTCTGCAGGCGAGCGACCGTGGCTTCATTCACTGGAGCTTCCTCAGTTCAAGAACTACCAGTTCAGAAGTAAACTGCAGGTCGTTACGACTCGGAGCGTGACGGCGGCTTCTTGATCCTCCTCCTCTTCCTGCGCTGGTCCTTTACACTCTTGAACGGCAGAAGATCATAGTCAGCAAGGTTTGGGCTGCTGCTCGCAAAATCCGGCGGTTTCCTCCTCGACCACGTCCTCGACCACGCCCACGTGCTCCTCTAACGCATCGTGCGGACCGTGGCTCATGAGCTCTCGGCAGGCTTTGGATTTGGGGCCTCCTCTGCCCTTGGCTTTGGCGCCCTTCCACAGTTTGGGCGATGCCGCGGGTCGCTTCAAGGCCTCGACACGTGCTCAGCCAAGGCTGCGACTGCTGAGCTGTAAGGCTGTAGCTGGACTTGCATTGTGAGAGGCGCAAGTCGGACAACAGCTGTTGCATACGAATGTTTTTTTCGGGAGCTGTGGAAAGCGACTGCGCGAACCGAACCAGAGCTCAAAAAGACCGTCCCTCGTGCCAAACTCTGCCCATGAGAGCTCCAATTAGTAAAGGGACTGTGGCGAACATACTAATTCGCTTCGATCTATGTGTTTGAAGCAGTGCCCTGCAGGAACCATGTCATCCGCTCCAAAGGACCGGGGAACTGGGCAGCACATCTTTGCAACGCGCATCTTGGGATCGCAGCTTACGTAAGCAGCTTAAGAATTCACATACTCAGGGAGAGCGCGGCAAGAGTTAGTCAGCACCCGAAGCCGGGCTGCTTCTTGATTGCTCAGATTGAGAAGCGCCGCGTGCAGTTCGTTCTCCGACACAAGCAAAAGGAGACAGACAGACAGACAGACAGACAGACAGACAGACAGACCGAAACACAGACAGACGGACAGACGGACGGACAGACAGACAGGAAGCAAGGACAGACAAGCGAGACGATAAGACGAGAGAGACAACAAAGACAAGAAAAAAGAGCGGGGAGGGGTCCTGACGGCTATGCCAAACACCTTTCTGCCTGCGAACAGAAAACGCACTTTTGAATGCTTCGGCAGGCCCAGATTTTCCACAGAGGTACGCCGATGTGGCTGGTGTTCACACATGCAAAGAGCAGCGCGAGGCCTCTTGACAATGCTGCGTCCCCGTTCCGCATAGCATTTCTGAGGTGAACAGCATACGCAGCGAGTGACTGCCCTGTGCCTGCCGAACCTTGAAAGCAAGCCTCAGCGAACCCAGATTTAATGACCATGCTCCGCACCTGTGAGGTATCGCCGCTGGAAGGTAGGCCAGCTTTCCTTTTCTGCCCAGAAGCCCGGGCTTGTCTTTCATCGTCGCTCTGGTACATCTCTCCTCGGCCGCTGAACTTTGCAGAAGAAACTGGTTCCAAGAGCAGAGAACTTACAACTTGGAGGCACAGCTGTTTCCACGAACAATACGAACAACGGTCACAAAACCGAATGTGCAATTGTTTCAAAACTGGCGGCAACGAAAGAAAGGGGAGCGACTAAATACGTTGTTCAGCTTTATCGCTTGGGCGCAGCACGCGCGGCCCCCAGCGCTCTACTCACGTCTTCATTTATAATCATAACCACTGATTACGAAGCATCTGGACTTCAAGCAGGCTTTCAGCACCGCAATGTTGAAATGCTTCGACCTCTGCTCCTGTCAAATGGAACAAAACAGAGGAACATGCCTCCCCTGCCTGTTTGAGTCCGAATGAGAGTAGTGATGGTGGTGAATGTTGCACGCGCGGCGGTTGCGAAGACAGTTGGAGTTTGGGTGCGGTACCACTGCTGGCCTCGAGGGTGGGGCCACACGGAATGGACACGGAGGTTGAGGTAGATATGTGGTGAGGGAACTGGATGAACTAAATGTTGGTAAATTGATCGGGCACCGGCCACCCTGAAGGCGGTTGGTGGCAGGGCATGGTATGTTGAGCCTCGGAGTGTGAGGGAGTGTGGAATCCTAGGGGGTTAGGTCTGAAGTGCCACATGTTCCAAGGTTGGTGAGACGTGCGGCTTGCGCAATTGCCTGTGGACGATTGTTGGTTTGATTGTAACGACATCGCCGAAAGCAGGTCGTGGCGGAAGGGGCTCGTAGTCGAGAAGTTGATGGCACATAGAGTACGGTTTGGAGCGAACTCTGTGGAATGCTGTGTGGAGTTCAGTTGTAGTGTAGGGTTTCTTACCCACAAATGGGAGAAAAGTGTTGCCACGCAGCATCGAAATGAGACTCGGATGCCTGGCCGGGCCAGCACGACTCACAAATGATTTCGTGTATGGCGACAGAAATATCGCCGACACGGTGTGCGAGATTTTGCGGCAGGCACGACTGAAGATGTGGCTCCGATTGGCTAGCCACTTCTCTTCATTGTTTGATCGGTCGGCATCTCGGTTCGCTACATCTATAGTGGCGGCTCATGGCAAGGGCCAGCGGGCCAGCTGGCTGTACCGTCGAGCCGAAGTCTTTTGGGCCAAAGCCTGGCATTCCTGGTAGACCATTGATGAAAGACGACATGAGTGCTGGTCAATTGATTGGTCATGTAGGTAAAGTTGGAGAATCACGCTTGTCAATCTTGGTTACCGATTTGTCCTTGCCTTTGCTAGTAATGATCACCATGAAAGCCTTTGGTTACTGCCTTTGCACTATGAAGTCAAGCAACGCCATCCCAAATCTTAAGACATGTCAAGCTGCATGGCAAGGTCGAATGTCTTCAAACATGTCAAGTTTTGCATGCCATACCCCTGGCAAGCAGCAACTTACTCACTTAACCTCGACGTTGTTCGGTGAGGTATTTCGCCCGTGACTTTACCGGTGATGTGATCTCCTAAACCATTGCAGAAAGCTTGGATGGGCAGGGTTCCGCCAGGTTCCCCTGCCCCTGTGCGTAATTTTGAGTTTGGCTAAAACCACTCCCATCAAGCCGAAAAAGCTGGCTGCGAATGCCACTCGAATGAACTCGCCGAAAAGATCAAGTCTTTCTGCAAACTGATCCCGACAAGGAATACTCCTGTGGGACCATGTGCAGCACCGTAGCCTTCGACCATGAGTGTGCAAGCATGACGAAAGCACTGCTAAGGAATGGAGTTCAAAAAGCCCACGAGGACGAAACTTTGTAGCGCTCTTCAATCCCATTTGACTGCACGAACTGAAGCAGCTTTCTTTTTTTCTCGGGAGGAGAGTAACCGCACAGAAGCGAAGCATGCAAATGACAGGCCCATGTAAAATATCTTCTTCGCAACGCAAGCCTGACAATCCTGGGGAGAGACTCCAAGGCTTCAGCGAAGACGCTTCCATCCAGATAGGAAGCACGCAAGCGTTGCCAAGGCAGCGGAGGACAGAACAACAGCTGATGGTCAGTCTCATGATCTTGACAATGAACGAACGCAAGTCGATACAGCGCTGAATATGCTGACAGACAGAGAGAGACACACACACACACACCCGCCTGCGCGCCCGCACGTCTCGCACGCAGAACGCTTCATGTTCCAAGAAATGCAGGCGAAGCTTACACTGGCCGGTCCTACCGGGAACTCTCACAAGAGACTTCATACACCCGGGGTTGTTCCTGACCTTCCAATGGTTGCAGTTTGTCAGCACTATTTCCGTCGAGACTCGAATCGCATCCTCCAGCTTGTCCAGGTCAGCACTCCACATTTGCTGGACTGAGGTTTTCTTGGTCTGTACCTCACAAGAGCGTGATGTAGAGACCACGGCCAAAGCTTTGCAGTGCTAGTGGGGCTCTCGCCAGCTCGTCGTTCTTGGCTTTGTAGAGCTTCCTGTAACAGCCGCGTCTGTCTCTTGTAAGCCAGGCAGGATGTTTGTGCCAAGTCTCTCAAGTTCCAGCTTTCTTTCCAGCGTCAAAGTCAGGATCTGCATACCCAGCAAGTACCTAGCGATGAGAACCCTTCAACCCTTCTGCTCCCCAGCGGGACGCAAAGACAATGCAGGCTGGTCGCTCGAATCCAGTCCTGCAGAAAATGCAGGGTGTGAACTCTCTCGATTTCATCTGTCCATATCCGTCCTGGTCCCTGTAGTGTCGCCAAATCGTCGGAACTTGAACTTCACAAGATCTTTCACAACGTCTGCCTTGCCAGTGTCATGCTGTCGTTCCGTCCGAGCGGCTAAACCTTCAATTGCGAGCAGAAGCCTTCTTGCGGTTGTTCACATGCAGCTTCTTGGCAATGATCATAGCAATGAACCGAGCACGATTTCCAAGAAGCTCCTGCAAAAGTATCCAGCAGATCGAGATGCAATCGTAGCTACAGGACCGACGAAGCCACAGTACTGCAACTTTTCTGGGGCACTGTGGACGGGCATCCTTCTCAAGCGTGAGCTTCTGGATCAAGTACTTCTTGCGCATGTCATACCTGGGAACGA